CCCCCTCACAGTCCTGACTTGGCCCTGTCAGATTATCACCTTTTTGAACCAATGAAACGCCATATTTCTGGACAGCGATTCACCGACGACGAAGACCTCGTGGAAGCCTTGAACGATTGGTTGAAATCCCTTGACGAAAAATTCTTCAGGGATGGTATATTCTCTCAGATCCAGCGATGGGAAAAATGTGTCCAGCGGGATGGTGATTATATTGAGAAATAAAGCACATGTTGAGGTATGATGTGTTACAGTTTTTTTTTTATAATAGGACAAAGATTTTTGCTTTTACGGACCTTTTCCGGTTTTCCGTGGGACAGCCCTCGTATTAGACAGTAAGAGTTGGTAGTTGGCAGGTGCTCTGGTGTGGTTTGCTTCTTCTTTCCTATCAAACATCTATCATCTTTATCTCCCCTCCTTTTTTTCGTGTTTGTTACTCTCTTGTAACACCTCTAATCTTCGGCACTTATATGACTTTATTGTGTTGCAAGTGCCGTAAAACTCTTACTAAAAGTAAAAGACAGTAAGATCTTTATAATTTTGAGTCCTTGTGAACCCATTTCCTTGTGGTTCGAAAAGTTTAGGATTTTTATTCATAGCCAGTTGGCATCTCTGTGGTATGTTTACTTGAGTAAAGAGAAACACTTCCACACCCAAAAAACCGTCATTTAGTGCAAGGAAAAAAACAAGACAGACAGACAGAAACAACAGAGGGAAAGAAAAGAAGTAGGACCTTCCAGTGGCGCCCTCCAACCACCCACATTGCAGGTCGGTTTTGGATGCTTTCTGCAGACAGACAGAGATACTAGAGAGGAAGCTGCCGAGAGAGTGTCAAAATACATGTAATGAAAAGTTGCAAATTAATCTGGGTTAGCCTGCTTGTCCTTAAAAGCAACCATATTATAATGTTATTGTAACTGTTGCTATGTCCACCCCCCCCCCCACCACCGCCACCACCAGGACATAGTGATGTCCAAGCTAGACCGACGTCGTAAAGGCGTGTACGGGCCGCGGCCAGGCCGGAAGTGCATCATTTTCGTGGACGACATGAGCATGCCCCAGAAGGAGGTCTATGGTGCTCAGCCGCCACTTGAGTTGCTCCGGCAGTACCTGGATACTGGACATTGGTCAGTCTGTCTGTCTGTCTGTCTGTGTGTGTGTGTGTGTGTGTGTGTGTCTGTCTGTCTGTGTGTGCGTTTGTGTGTCTGTGTGTTTGTGGGAGTAATACTTTGGTCAGTCTGTCTGTGTGTCTGTGAGTAATAATCTTGTAAGTGTGTCTAGGTGTCTGAGCGTTTGTGAGTGTAATACTTTGGTCAGTCTGTCAGTCTGTCAGTCTGTCTGTGCGTCTTTAGGTGTAATACTTTGGTCAGTCTGTCTGTCTGAGTAATTTTCTGTTTTGTGCATCTGTGAGTGTAATAGTATTTTTTGGGGTCGTTTTTTTTTTTTTTGGGGGGGGGGGGTGTTCAGGGTTTTGCATTTTGTTTGTGTGTCTGTTCCTGACTGTTTTATACTTCCTTGATACTTTTCACTGAACTATACAACCAGTACCATGTCTCTATGAGAGTCCTTCTTTCCTATCAAACATCTATTTTCCTGATCCTTCCTCCTTTTGTGTTTGTTACTTACTTGTAACACTTCTAATCTTCTTTAGTTTAGTTTAGTTTTAGTAGAGGGTTTTACGGCGCTCGCAATTGCATAAGGTCATATGAGTGCCAGAAGATTAGAGGTGTTACAAGAGAGTAACAAACATAAAAAAGAAGAAGGGGAAATAAGGGCGATAGGTGTTTGATAGGAAAGAAGAAGCAAAACCACACCAGAGCACCCGCCAACCACCCACTTCTAATCTTGGACACTTCATTGACCTAATTGTGTTGCAAGTGCCATAAAACTCTTACTAAAACTGATAACTAAAATTATATAAATACACTAATGGGCATTTAGTACAAAGAAAAAAGTAGTACTTCATTCAGGCAAAAAAAAGTGAAAGAAAAGAAGCAATCTGACTTTTGAGACTAAAGGAGAAAGCTCGGTTCAACTACATCTATCCAATTCCCGCCTGTCCCTGTCCCCAGGTATGACCTCAATGACACGTGCAAACTGTACGATTCCCGCCTCTTTGTGTACTCAGGTGTGACTTACAAAAAAAGCTTGAGCTTTGTTCAACTGTACAATTCCCGCCTCTCTCCCTGACCCAGGTACAACAAAAAAGCTTTGTTCAACTGTACAATTCCCGCCTCTCTCCCTGACCCAGGTATAATAAAAAAGCTTTGTTCAACTGTACAATTCCCGCCTCTCTCCCTGACCCAGGTATAACAAAAAAGCTTTGTTCAACTATACAATTCCCGCCTCTCTCCCTGACCCCAGGTACGACCTCAAGGACACGAGCAAACTGTACGATTCCCGTCTCTTTCTGTACCCAGGTGTGACTTACAAAAAAAGCTTGAGCTTTGTTCAACTATCCAATTCCCGCCTCTCCCCCTGTCCCCAGGTATGACCTCAAGGACACGAGCAAACTGTTCCTGGTGGACATCCAGTTCCTGGCCGCCATGGCGCCGCCAGGAGGGGCACGTAACTCCGTCACTCCTCGCCTCATGCGCCACTTCTCCATCGTGTCCATGAACCCTTTCAGTGACGACACCATGTCCAAGATCTTCACCACCATCATGATCACACATCTCAAGGTACACGGTTTTTGTTTTCTTCTTCTTTTCTTGCTTTCTTTCTCCCCCCCTTTTTTTTCTTTCTTTCTTTCTTTTTTTCCCTTTCTTTCTTTCTTTCTTTTTTTTTTCTCTTTTTTTTCTTTCTTGCTTTCTTTTTTTGTTCTTGCTTTCTTTCTTTTTTTTTCTTTCTTGCTTTCATTCTTTTTTTTAAAAATTCTTCTCTTTTTGTTTTACCCTTTGGAACGACTGGCGTCTGTGATGCACATATTATTTGATACTTCGCCCTCACATACGGGAGAATTTTTATCAAGTATCACTGTTTTTCTGCTGGGACGTTTTATCCCTCCCAGTCAAAGTTGGCCCTGTCAGGCAAGATTGAAGCAACATTACTCTTAAATGACCTAAATTATAGTGTTGATGGGGGGTTTCAAACTTCTACAACCGCATTCCTTTGATCCTGCTCCTCTGGGTCGATTATTAGATACTTTTCAGCGCCCATTCCACAATCACCCTAATCAATTTCTGTCGTTTCCAGATGAACCCGTTTTTCGAATAAAGGCATCAAGTGACATCTTAAAATAATAATAGTTTTGTTTGGTTTCCTTATTTCTTTCAAAGTTTTTAAATTGAAAAATTTAGAGAGGAAGAGCCCGAAACAGCGACACATTCTCTCCTGATGATCTCCACGCTTGTGTCCGGGATACGGAGCGTTCGGCTGTGAGCAGTGGATATGACTGTTTTAGACTATGTACCTTCCAAGTTTTTAAATTGAAAAATGACAAGTGCTTAGTTCATGGTCCCTTCTTTCTTGTCTCTCTTTTCTATTCCTCTTCCCGTACATTTTATCATCCCATCCCTCCCCCTGCTTTCTTCTTCCTCTTTTATCAACCAACTTTCCCCTCCTCTTTCCTGTCTCCCCTCCCCTTCCCCCTTTTCTCTTTAAACACCCCATCCCCCACTCTTCTTCTCTTCCCCCTCCCCTTATATCTTCCCATTTTCCCCCTCCCCTTTTATCATCCCATCCTTTCCGCCTCCCCTTTATGATTTATATTACCCATCCCTTCCCTC